CTTATTCTGCATATTTTAGATCCCTTAATCCTACCCCATAACTAAACTTAACAAATACCTCACTAACCATGAATAAGCAGACAATTAGGAGTTTATTGAAGCAAAAGTCATAGTCAATAGCGGGAATTGGATCTTAAAGGGATAGTTCACCCAAAAATGAAAATTCTGTCATTAATTACTCACCCTCATGTTGTTTCAAACCCGTAAGATCTTCGTTCAGAGTATCCAAGAATGTATTTGACGTAATCAGCGTTGTTTACGTTCGGGGGGGAAAATGCGCACATGAATGTAATCGGCGTAATCAGCGTTGTTTATGCTTAGGGGAAAGTGTGTGATACTCTCTAAAATGGCGGAAGATGGTAACTCGGGGGAGAAGAATTGTTGAATAAAGTCTTTTTTTTTGCGCACAGAAAGTATTCTCGAAGCTTTGCAAAATTGAAGTTGAGCCACTGATGTCACATGGACTGTTTTACCGATGTCCTTACTGCGTTTCTGGACCTGGGAATATTACAGTTGCGTTGCTGTCTATGGGAGGGTCAGAGTGCTCTCCAAATTCATCAAAAATATCTTAATTTGTGTTCTGAAGATGGACGAAGGTCTTACGGATTTGGAACGACATGAGGGTGAGTAATTAATGACAGAATTTTCATTTTGGAGTGAACTAACCCTTTAAAATAAAGTATGACCATTTTGCAGATGTCAGTTAGTTTGTTACTTATTGCATTTCATTTCAATATTTTTGGGGCCACTGTTTGTTGATCAAAAATAGAAAAAGTGCATATCCAATCTGCGAGGAACAGTGACGTGCGACAAAAGGACAGACACTTGGAGACATCGAGTTAAGTAACTGAAGGTTCACATAAAAGAGTGTAAAGGGCCCTCGGCAGCTCTCCTTACACTGACACCATCTGCTTGGCACTGATGTGAACTCGCGCGTACAGCACAGCCTCTGTTTGCGCGTAGCTTCTCGAGCGGCTGATGAATTGAGCGTCTGCTTTGAAGCGTGTGCCAATAACTTTGATGGCAGATCATTAGAATGAGCACTAACATCTTTTCAGAGTGGCCTTTTTTGTTACATTCCTTGATGTGTACAGGTGTGGATAAAGGAAGAAAGATCCAGATTTGAATTTGAATATAGTGAATCGCACATGGCCTAAATGATGCTGTTAGTGTCGCTGTGGGCATCTCATAATACCGACAGGGGCACAATAGCACAAATTCTATATTGGGCTCGTGAAAATGTGACAGATTCGTCGAACCGACATTTCTGTAAATAAAGCAACAGCCATATGTTGTCTATGGAACAATCTGTGCAGGGAAATAAAACAGAAATGGATGTTTGGATGTGATAAGAAACAGCAATTCATGTGACAGGATAATGCACATCAGATAACGTGATTGAGGAAGTGATCAATGCTCATTTAGTGATGATGTGACAGGACTATTGGTTTATTTGGAATTCACATACTGACCATGTCAGTAACACGACTGAAAATCTCTGCATTGATTCCATTGATTCTTGGGTCTTTTGAGCCAGATTTGATTTGCTTCAAAGGACAAAATGGCGTTTTAATTCATCCTTTTCCCAGTTAGTCTTGGTGATTTTAATCATTTTAGGCTTTTTGAGTTAAATGTGGGATTTAAGAAACTAGTAGCACTTGTTGATTTCAGAACGGTTTTAGTTATAAATGCTTAACAAAAGAAGAAATGCTTTAAAATGCAAAGTTCAAATTTAAACTCAACCAATGAGGTAGTCGGAATTCTCAGAAATAAAAAAAAATCAAATTTAAAATCAACCAATGTAGTAATGAACTCATTTACCAATTAAAACAGAAAGAAAGAGTAGTGGACCAGCCAATTAGAAATTAACAACCATAAATTGGGTTGTCTCTCTATATTTGTACTCTTCAAGATGACAAAACAAGGATTTTTAGTGCCATGATGGCAAGACATTTTGCATAGATCTTCAGATTTGAATAGTGATCATTCTGGGTTTCGAAAACGTATCAAACTAAAGAACTTTTATAATCATTTCTAAGAACCTGAACGCTGCTTTGAAAAGCGACAACGTGATGAGACTCCATTCTTTATTATTTCAACCTCCATTAAAACTGTTTCTTAAACATGAAATATTATCTCTCTAATTATCCATTTAAAGATCTGAGCAGATATTTTCTAACTCCATTGTCAAATTGGCCATTTTAGGCAATGTTTGGCACATTACATTTGTCTCTCTAATTGCAAAATGCACAGGCTCTAATTGGACAGATCTGTGTTGTGCACTTAGTCTAGTCTTTAATAAGGGTCTTCAGTTCAGACGTCTTTCTCCGCTGTTTTTGAAGACTTAATGGATTTCCAGAGACATTAGATTTAACTTAATAATGGTGAGGGTTGCGGAATTAATAAAGCATGCCTTCAAAACCGGCGAATGCAAATGTGTATATTTAAATATCCTCTTGATGTGTGTTTCTTTTAAAGTTGCATTTCAATTTCATTTCATCAAACCCGACAGCCGTGTCTCTGTTTATGTCACGAGCAACATGAATATGCATATGGTGAATGGTAAAATTCATAAGCGTATGAAACTGATGCCTCGTCTCGTGGCAGCAGTGTATTTATTATGTAGATGATTTTATGGCTGATCTACGTGGCGAAATGTACATTAATAGATTTGTTTTTGTGCGATCAGACAATTAAAGGTGTCAAAAATGTTTTGAGATAATTCTGCAACTGGTAATACAGTTCTAACAAGTAAATGATACTCTAATAAAAGATCTAATGAGGTCCGCAGTGTTCTTTAATGAACCAGTAAACGTTTGGCCTCACAATAAACATATCCCTAAATGCTATTTAAGGCTTATATGCAATGAAACACTCGGGACATCATGTAGATATTTAAAACCTTGCCCCCGAACAGTAATTTCCTGTTCAATTATGCCAAATCTCAATGAGCCATGATTCTAAAAACAGCCCCCTTTGACGGCCCAGTTCTGATCTGGCATAGCGCCTCATCATAATGCCATAGAAAAGACAAGGCATGAAACACAACATGCTTTCAGGTGGTCAGATGAAATGTTATTTTGTACTTTCTTTCAAAACGAAAGACAACTGTGCTGAATAAACTATTTTGCCCACCATTATGCTTATCAAATCCTATTATGAAATTGTCATTTCGATTATCTTAAATACCCTGTAAAATGTTCTGCCAAAGCCTATCAGAAATTGAATTGCGTATTGAATTACGATGGAATGGAACGGCGGTGGTGATGCATATTTGAACTTAACAGAAATGACATTTCAGGCTAAGAGCAGAAGGGAGCTCAATTATTATTAATACTTATTAGAATTACTAATGTCAATAAAACTTTTACATTGAAAACAATAGCATCTTTTACACGTCGTTTATTTTTTTCTTTTTCAAAACGGTGGTCTTGTCTTGCTCAAAGCCCGAGAGAGTATAAACTGAGAGGGGAGAGAGATGTTTCGTTTTCTGGGTTGTGCCCCACAGGTACCCGTGTGTCAGTTTACCTACAAGCTGCCCGCTAGGCAGTGAGGTGAGACAGCGGGTTCACCTGCCAATCAAGAGCATCTCAGCCTCCCTCCTCTGGACACCGGCTTATGTGGGCTCTTTACTTCAAGAGTTCTGACTGTTGTTCAGAAGCTATCTTTAGCAGGAGAGGCGAGAAGAGGAAATATGAATTGGTATAGGTATAGACTAGAGAACAAAAAAGAAGAATGATGAGGTGTCGTTGGGCCGCGGAGCCTCTCTCAAACAGAGCTGCAGGAAATAAACAGCAATCACTGAAGCATGACTGAAAATCCACTGAGCAGGCAGCCTTAATTGAGCCCATCTCTCTGTCTATTTCCTTTTCGCTCTTCCCCCTCTCCGTGGATAATAAGCACAAGATCCCTTAACCTTTTTGTGCATTTTAAGACCATTAATTGATGTGTGAAACTGCATTTTGCAGAAGTCGAGGGGTCCAAAGACCCTCAGGTGGTGTGTGTGATAGCTCAGATATTTCCAATTTAACGTCTCAACGTGACAGATGGGTGTTGCTGAAGGAGGTGTATTCTCTACAGTCAATATATGAGTATACACAGCAGTGGAAAACAATAATCATACATACTATTTGCACATACGCTTGAGAATTGATTTATGATATGCTTATGTTTAAGGCATGTATTCTTTGGTCAGTGTGTAGGAGTTTATTGCCATTAGTTTTTAGCACCTTATAGATATCATATTTGCATACTGGAAAAATTGGTGTAGAAACCGTTTTCACTTGAAAATTGCTAGGAAATTTCTCACACAATTACAAAGAAACAGCTAGTAACACATTGAAGTTTTGAACTTTTTTGTTTTCAATTTTAACATTTTCTATATTATGTGTAATGTTATATCATTAGCGCGTGATATGGCATGTTTACAAACGTGATTTCTCAATATAATAATTAGTTCATAATAAGAAAAACAGCTATTTGTAAACCCTGAAGATTTAGGGGGGGGATGACATCCTCCACTGATTTAATCACACAAGCCTGTGTGCAAATTAATTTACGCCCTGCTTGCTTTTTGGACATGTTTGAGCAACTCAAAACAAACAGAAGGTAAGTTATGAATTCTCTTTGGGGAGAAGTATTCAAAATTAATCAGTGCTTATTAATATGATCTGCGATGTAATATTTCTCTATCTTGGGTTGCAATTAAAAAAATCGAGCAGAAAGAGATCACTGCGCTGCTAATTCTACTCTGGATCTTGGGTGTGATATTCAGATGTATCAGTGCATCACTCAGACAGACTTTCCGTAGCTTTGTTTACATTCGCTTCTTTCAGTTCTACGTGTGTGTAATGTGAATGCGCTACGCTTGTGTGTTTCTACGGCGATGTGACAATAATAGAAGTGACGCGATTCGATCCGATCCTCATGCGCTGAGCCCCGGGTGGGCGGGGCCATGCTAATGACGTCAATGGAATGGGTGAGGTGACGAGCCCCTTCTGCGCTCCGCCCCGCCCCGTGTGGGTGACGGGAGGGGGAGGGGCCAGGCAGAGCTGATCCCACGTGTGACGCTCGCATTCCCGGCTCAGTAATATTCTCTTAGCTCTGACAGTGTGTGTGTGTGTGTTAGTTACTGGCCATAGTTGGGTTAGCCATGGAGGGAGACGGGAGCCAAGCCACATCTGGAAGCCCTAACGATTCGCAACACGACCCGGGGTAAGCCAGAGCCAATACTGACAGCACTTGACTTTTTTTCCTTGTGTGTTTTTCTCCAGTGAACATGTTTTAAAAACGCTCTTCCGGGTGCACGCAACTACTACACCTTTGTTTGATGTATATTAGAGAGCACAGCCCGCCAGGGCTCGGTAAACACACACCTCTCTGCTTTGCCTGCGTTTAGCTCTGCTTTTTTTGTCGCTAGCTAACGTTACACGTCAAAATGGCCGATCTGACATCTGGACTCACTTCTGCTGTGTTTTCCCCTTACAGTAAGATGTTTATCGGTGGCCTCAGCTGGCAAACTTCACCAGGTAAGAGACCGACGGTTGGCTGTCATTTGCTCGCGTTTGTCGGGCTGTGTTGTGTTTCTTTCATTGTGTCAGCGTGGCGCGCTGTGCGGGATATGTGCCGTCATTTGAAGTCCTCTATTCGACCCCTGTTAGACATCCAGGGGGGCGTTTAATTTACAAACTGGTGTGTAACGCACGAATGCTTTGCTCATGTGTGCTCTTTTCTTTCTGTTTTGTTTCACAGACAGCCTTAGAGACTATTTTAGTAAATTTGGAGAAATCAGAGAATGTATGGTGATGAGAGATCCCACAACAAAACGCTCCAGGTAAAAAACAAAGACAATGTTTATTATTATTTTTAATTATTCTCAAATATCCTTAACACGTTGAGGTTTTTATTCAAAGCGATATAAACTGGCGATTTTGCCCTTGCGCTGTTATTCGGATGCTATGCGCTGTTGAGGCGACTGGATCGGTGTGTTTGTGAATAGGATACAGTTTGACATTGATTTGGGATTCTGCGTGTTAAACCAAATGTCTTTAATAAACCGAGCGCTTAATGCGGGTGCTTGTGTTTTTATCTTCGACGTTGGCACGTTAATGGGGTTTTCACACTTGAAATTGTCATTATTAACCCAGGGTTATTTTGTTCCATGTTTCACACCGTTCATACTTTACCCCTGGATTAGTCATTAATCCTCCGCTGTCAGATTGCGAGATTTCTTACTGTACGTTAGCGTTTTCATTTGCATATTCATGAGACTTAAAACGTTGATTGGACCTGTTTTAATATCAGTAGAAATGTCGCTACGCAGCCCCTCTCCATATGCTTTACATCTTCTGAAATGTACCGCAGAAATACATTGTTTCCCTCAAACATTTAAATTAAACGGCGCGTGAAAGTTTCTGCGACTGTACAATGCTTATGAATATTTAATGAGGTAAGCGCCGAAGCAGTTTATGATTGGTTGTCTGTTGCTAAACATATGTAGTAGATAGAATTTCATAACGGTCGGTTAAAAGGCGCTGCTGAACACCTTTCAAATGACAAGTTTGAAACGTTTCTTAACCTAAGGTTATAACTGGCCTTTACCCAGGGTTTAAAAAGACGTTAACCGAGGATTAAGTGTGGCGTGGAAAGTCCATATGTGTCCTTGACTGACTACTTCTAAGGTAACACGTTATGCAGAAGTTTATCTGAAATGTTTTGTCAACCAAGTGCTAAGTTGGTTCTTGGTTCTTGCTCAACCAAGATTCTTGCTAAATAATATAATAGGGTGGACATATTAAAGGGATATTTCACACGGAAATGAAAATTCTGTCGTTGTTTATTCTGTGAAACACAAAAGGAATTGTTAGGGACTGACAGTTTGAGTCACCATTCACTTTTATTTGCATCGTTTTCCCCCCATAACGTGAAAGTGAATGGTGACTGAAGCTGTCATTCTACACATTCTTTTATGTTCCTCAGACAAATGAAAGTCATACAGGGTTTTGAACGACATGAGGGGGAGTACATGATGACAGAATTTCCATTTTTGTATAACCTACCATACTCTTTTGTCCTTGACGCACTATATTTCTAAGATAACGTTATTAAAATTGTTATAGATATCAAAGTTCATGTAGCATTCAATAATAGAATAGAATGGATATGTTAACAAGCTTACCAGTCAAACACGTGTAACGCATCGCTGTCAGCTCCTAATGTATGTCTGTGTTTTTTGTTTGTTTTGTTTTCCAGGGGATTTGGCTTCGTTACGTTTGTGGATGCGGCCAGTGTAGATAAGGTCCTAGCTCAACCTCACCACGAATTAGACTCAAAGACGGTACGTTCCCTTCTATTTGCGTTTGTTTTGTGAAGTGCTGTTTAAACATGCTTGTATCTGTGACATTCAGTGGTGAAAAGACACGCAGTCTCCCTATCATATCCCTTCCTGTGTCGAGGCTTTCTGCGGCATTTGTCATTGTACCACACACACAACAGCGGGGCACTTGACATAAATAAGTAGCTGGATAATTAGTCCTATCTTCCTCACATGCCTCAACAGGTTTTAACCCCTTGCTTGCCAAACCGGGACTGGGGAACAAAGGGTTAAATCTCTTTGAGGTATGGGGGCAAGAAGGAACTAATTACCTGCGGCGTTGTTCAATCGTGACTCCAGCTGTGTTCAGGGCCTCTTGTGACGTAAGACTTGCAGTGTATGTAGTGTTTTGCTGTCTTGTTCCTGATTTAATTTTCCAGACAGAATGTTGACTCCGGATGTTGCTCAGGGCAAGAATGTAGTTTGGATGCATGCATAAGTTCATTGTAAACCTTGCTGACTAGAAATGTTTTACGTGCATGATTTACATGGTAAACTAATTTGATCACATTTGTTTCTTTTTGTATTTTCATAGCATATTTAGACTTATGTTTATACTATGTTATTTGTGGTGCAGGTTAGTGTGTGTACTGGTGCACAGTTTTCCATTATTATACATTTAAGTATCATGCATTCAATTTATTTCTCAATGTGCCATTAATTATTTATTTAAATTTTTCTTATTCATTTTTCAGTTGTTTTATTCATGCCTGGAGTTTGCTGTTGCTTCGACATTTAAAAGGTGCTTGTAATATGTAAACTAAAAGTTTAGAGTATGTACTAAGATTTTCTTGTACATTTTTAAATAAAGATTCTAATTTTCAAAAAGATTTTGAAGTGAGTTTTTACCTGTAGAGTATAGGATTATTATATATATATATATTATAGCATTTATATTAAAACATTTTTATTTATATTGTATTTTATTTGAATTGAATAACATTGTATTTATATTATAGTATACATATTATAACCTTTGATATAGTATGGATTCTTCCAAAGCATTTTTATTTAGGATTAGGAGTAATATCTGGAAAATATTGTGTATTTATATTATTTTACATTGGCCATGTAAATATGCAAACTGAGTCATACGTATATTTCTGTCAGCAAGAAATAGGTTTGCCTTATTCAACCTAACCTAAATCCAGGCAGAAATACATTTAGATCTTTGTGTGACAGTGAACCCCAGGATAAGCAGACGCTGTACCAGTAAAGTTAATGTGGATTCTATTTTCTTTTTTATGTATAAAGTCACCATCTTTCCTGTTTGTAGATGTAGTTGCTAGTTACCTGTAGGAGTCCAGAGTGAAAGAGCCTTTTATTTGGGATAGCTAGGGTGTGGACAGATACCGCCTTCACTGACTTATTTTAATAGATGCCATGTTGCTGCAAGTTCATATCAAGAGACGGACTTATTTAAAGGTGTTCACAGAGGTTCATAGCTTCCCTCAGGAATTTTGTGGCTAATACTCCTCTCCCAGAACACTGTGTATTGGCATTCTATTGGCATTGTTTTGGCAAAAAATTTGTAATTCTGTGATAAGATGGGGTTAGAATTATTTTTCTGTTTCAAATAGAAATTAAAGTTGCCAGATAAATTGAAATAATTAAAAAATATATATACAAATAAGGGAGGATGTATTTTAATATAGAATTTTTTTTATTTTACATTATAATTTTATCATAATAATGTGTGTGTAAAGATTTAAAACACCAAACTAAGGTTCACTGACAAGTTGCACTGATTAGATTAGATCAGGTGGCTAATTTGGTCAATAGCAGATTGACCTGTTAAACTGTTTATTACCCATTACTGGGTAATAAAGATTACTGATGGTTGTTTACTTAAATCCAGCAATTGGGCAAATATTAATTCTGAATCATAATTTAGCACAGCAGGTGAATATTCGCCACCTCTCTTGGTTCCGTGCCCTAAATCTGTTAGAAATACAGGTGTGCTATTCATTATGTCTCTCTCTGCCAGTTTGGCATTGACTGATGTAAGCCGAAATGCCTTTAGGAGGGAGAACGTTTCTGTCTGATTAATAAAATAATATAACATTGTACATGTCAGTGTTGCACTAGTCGAAAAACTTGTAATTCGGACATCAAAAGTGGGCCATTCAGATTACATAATCATGGCACGCATGTGCAATTCTAGTATTCTTAGTAAAAAGTGGGTCAAGGTTTGACGTTTCAAATGCTCTTGAATGGCTGAGGGAAAAAAAAAGAAAGCTAGCGTTAGCAGTGATGTATCCAGGATTGAGAGCGATTGAGATCATGTGGACACTGCGGCTGGTGCTAAAGCAGGGATTACTGAGCTCTGGGTAGTGATGTCATCGTCAGGGTTGGGGTGGCTGTGTCATGACTCGGGGGTTTCAGCTCCAACTGGAGACCAGGAGCTGTGAGGAAGTTGCACCGGTAGAGGTTTAAGAACAAATTTAAATTGCCAGTGCAGTTGAAAGCTCTTGCTTTTGATGTCTATAATAGAAGAAATATTACTATTATTAAATATTACTGCTTTAAAAAGATCAAGGCTTGATCTTTACCTCGTCACCACCTGTTTCCTTTGGCCTTTATTTCCTAGGCTTATTCCTTTTTTTCCCCTTTTTTTTTGTTGCTGTTTGCAGATTTAAATATATTTTTGCGTATGTATTTACAACTTGCAACAATTTTAATGTAATATCCAAAAATGTAAACCCCGTATAGATATTCATATATTTATAAGCTTTTGTACATTTGCATTTTATATGGATGTTATGTTACAGATTGGCAATATTTGAGTACTAATGAGTTGGCTCATTTAGAAATAAATGAAGTACCTGCTTTATTTAGGAGTTTAGAAGTACCTGCAGTGTCATCTTTCAATCCAGACAGCTACGTTTTTATTGCCTTTTCTATTTTCCACTTTTTTGCAATTTCCTGTCCAATCTTTTTGTCACATTTGAAGAGTGCAAATGGACCAAAGAAAACATGTACAGAGATATTCTTGACACACTTGTTTCACATTTGATTAAAAGCTGTGTAATCTGCAAATCTGAAAGCCTAGGGTGAGAATTGCATTGTGTATTGACAACTGAAAGACTGTTGCCTAAAAGACTAAAAGCAATCTGTTTTAGATTAAACACTTTTCTGGATGAATTAAAGTATAACACACCAGTATCATTTACCACCAGAAAGGTTTTTTTTTTTGTACATATTGCAATTCTGTTCAGGTCAAATTAATTTACCAGGAGACCCCCTCCTTCGTATTCCACCAAAACATGTTTATTATGTTTTTTCCCCCTTTTGCACGCTGCCACATCTCACAATTCTGCTTTTCTTTTTCTTACCATTTATAAGAAGTGACACAGCATTCAGACATGCAGTATATTCAAGAGCAATATAGCACTAATGGATCTTTTTCCCTTGAGTTATTTTTCCATTTAATGAGAGTGCAGAGGCAAGTCTTTGAACTGTTTTTGTTCTTGCATGCATGATTATCTACCGTCCTATCCTTCTAGTGCTCTGGCTGCCCAAGCTTTTGGCCTGTGTGCTAAAAAGAGGGACTGTTGTTTTAGTCTATGAATGTTTAAATGACCAAAGCAAACATCTTTCTCAACAGGAAGTCGGCCAGAAACTCACTTATTTTCTCTGTGTAAAATCTTTATTTGAGTGTTTAAAATAAATAAGTGATGTTCACTAATATGAAGTCTAACAAGCCAGCTAGTGGAAATCAATAATACCTGTTTGTCATTAATGACACAGTCTCTTAAAATGATTTTTTTCCCTTCTAGCATTAGAATCATACATATTTTGCGGTGTTAAAAATGTATGATGCAGAGATCAATAAGAGAAAAAACCTTTTTGATTGCAATTGACGTATTTATGTTGTTAATTTATCCTCCAGGGAAATTTGTTAATATTATTAATATCCAGGATGAATCGTTATGCTGGTTCAGAACACCAGCGGTTTATGTAAATTACAAATGCTCTTAATCACGATGTGTGCAAACCTATGTTTCGTTTGTAATATAATAAAATCAAATAACAGCTTTTCTAACCAATAAACCTAGTTATGCCCAATCACATGCCAAAATGCATTATAGGCCGAGCAGTAACCCCTTGTGCAGTGTGGTACAGTGGAGGAGAGTCACCCATAATAATTCTAATCCCTCAGGGGGGAAGGAGGTTGTGAATGTATTGATCTAATGCCCTGTCTTGATGCTCCGCAAATCTACAGCGCTCACTAAAACACCTCCCGCCATTTCGTCCTAGCACTTCTTCAGCGAGTCTTTGAATTATCTCTGGTGTGTTATATAATGCCACCTGTTTATTTATGTTGTAATCGAATAATTATGCTCTAACCTGTGTAAGGTTTTATTCGATTTTGTCATACACAGGCCTCATGCAACCAGCGTGTAATAACTAGGCGAGATTACACATGAGACATGGAGCATTGCATCATGATTAATGCTATAATTTCCATGAAGGTTATCGAGTAGTCGCAGCACATTGCCGGCTTTTTCTAATATTTTCTAATTTTCCTCTTCACATAACAGTATCACAAGCTCAGTTTTCTCATATTTCTTTCTCTCCTTCTTGTCTCATTTAGATTGATCCTAAAGTTGCCTTTCCAAGACGCGCTCAACCCAAGGTAAGAGCTGTTTGCTTTTGCTCTCTCTTGCCGAGCCACTTTACATTTGCAAGTCTGCTGCATATTTGTTAGTGTGAGAGGGCGAATGTTCTTCGCTGAATTTGTCCTTTGATAGAGCAAAGTTGAGTTGGAGTTGTAGCTGTGATGTTACGTTATGGTCTGTTGCAGTCTGGCTGGTGTTATTTTCCAGGCTAACTATGACTTCTCTGTGTCATAGTACAAGGAGATTCCGTTTAATTGTTTCAAATGTGAGGAATTCAGATTTTTTTTTAATTAGCATGGCTGGGGATGAACTCAAAGAACTATCACGGAGAAAATATAGAATTATCGCTGCCTTGTTGAGCATGAAGGTTGTATTTTTATTTTTTTTCCCTTTTTGGGGGCATGAGGTGGGGTGGTGATTAACTTACTTTTTTTAGCATCGCTGCTTGCATGTAAGGTCATTAGAGAGGATTTTTTTAATATATATTTATATATATATATATAAAAAAAAAGAACTAGAGGAGAATTTTGCCCTCAGCTGTGGAATTCAGAGCATTCAATCCCTCGTTTGAATCTTGTCTCAACAAGAACATTTTCTTTGTATAGCCGAGTGTGTGTGTGTGTGTGTGTGTTTTTATGGTATCTAATGTCCTGCTTCTGCGAGCCATGCTGGCAACAAACGTCCGACAGCCTCTTCACTTCAGACTGCACTGTCAGCCAGATGGTCTGTGCCCCAGATTTTGTGTCTGCCATGCAGCCGTTGCTTGGCCTCTCAGGCAGAGCTGGGACAGCCCCCCTGGCTCAGCTACGGGCCACCAGCACTTTCACCCAAGAGGAAAGGTGCACCGATCTGAGATCAGCCTAGATGTTTTCTTTTAGAATGGATGCAGAACAGGATGGCAGACGGTCCTTGATCAGAGCAGGCTGGGGAGGAGGGCTCGTGGGGTGACAGGTGTCCATTGCACACTTGTCTGGCTAATTGATATAAAGAACTTTTTTGCTTCATCCAGAGCTCATTGGAGGAGAAAAGGTGCACTCTCTTTCTCGCTCTCACGCACATACACATGCCAGCGAGGCCGGTCCAAATGCAGGCCGCAGGGCCCCGGGCCTAATGCTGTTTCTTGGCTTGAGTTGGACACGGGATGAATAGTCGTATTAATGCGGCCAGGCTCCAGTAGCAGTTAGACTGCAGCCCTGTGGATGTTTGCTCAAAGCCAGGCGCATTGACAAATAATACCTTTAATGCAAATACATTATTATTCTCATGTCCTGTCAATAGGCTAGGCATTATTGCGCCATCGGAAGTTGCCAATAGTTAGGTCCATTCAGTTTCATTACCCTATCCGACCCTACACTTAGATTTAAGAGCAAACCAGCAGTGGATAAACACGAAGATCCAAATGGAATACTAAGGAAACAAAAGATCAGCCCTCTGAATAGCCATTCTGTCCTCGCCATGCGATGATAGAGCAGTTTTTTATCTCCCTACAAAAGCACTAAAAAGGAGTGGGGATTTGTTTTTGCAATGATTGTGTTAAACAGCGAAGAAGTTTACCACAGGCAGAGGGCGAGATTGCTTTTTTCGCCGTATTTGTGATTGGGCTTGTTGTTTCACACTACTTTTCCCCAACACGGCTCTGCATGTCCCGACAAGATTTTAATTGATATTGGGATTGAGGCCACTTTTGGAAGCGAATGGATTTTCGCAGGTCTGATATCGCCCTCCGAGAAAACTGTTATTTTCATCAACCCTAAGGCTGCATAATCCTTCCAATCAAGTTACTGACGCTTCACCAGCTGCTGTAGTGCGGTTTTAACAAGCCTCTAGGTGCAGTAAGGTGATGGATGATCATCTGTATGTGATGGGCCATTTGTTTGCTGCTGATTCTTGTCCTTTCTCATTGATCATGTTTGGAGGCTGCTCCATCGCCAGTAGCTAATTTAGCAAGCTTGTATTTATCTTCAAGACATTTGTGTACAAAGCGTTACATTCCCAAATAATTAATTTCAAAGCTATTTATGTCCTTCGGTAGGCTCACTGATTAGAGGACAAATTTTGAAAATTCATATAGTTGCAAATAACTAGATAAGTGTTGGGGAACTGTAGCTTGTCTCCTTTATTTAAAGTAGTTCAATTACAGTCAAGTTACTATTTTGAAAATGTATTTACATAATTTAATTTGTGTAATTATTGTAATGGTATTTTGTATACTGTTAGAAAATAAGATGGATAATTCTGTACAGGGGTTCTAGTGAACTGGCAAATCTTTTTTTTTTTTTGAGTCTGGTAATGCTTCATATGAGAGATAAGGCAAGTGCCTTTGCATATGAGCTACTGACTACTGCCATGCTATTAAAATATTTAGTTAAATGATTAGTTTCCGGTAAGTATTTTATGTAATGGTATTTTAGCAGCCCTGCATGTTCTTCAACACTGGTAACACTTTATCATATCATTAATAACAATGACAAACATTAATGTGGAACATTTTATTTTATAGTGTTTGTGTTACATGTATAGAGCTCCGGACGTCACGTGACCCATTCTGTTTACACCACCATGCTGGCAGGCAGGGACAGCTGGGAACCTTTGGGTTACGAGTCCGACTCTCTAACCATTAGGCCACGACTTTCTGATTGCCTTCTTGCTAGCATCATGCTACTAACATGCTAATCATGCTAGAATAATGCATGATTAATGGTATAATGGAATAGAATAATGGTAGATACCAATGCTCTCCTGATTGCCTTCCTGCTAGCAACATGCTAGTAAACTTGCTAATCATGCTAACAAAATGCTAACACCATGCTAATCATGCTAGAAACATGCCAGCAACTTGTTAAACATGTTAGAAACATATTAACATCATGCTAATCATGCAAGAATCATATTAGCAACATGCTATTAACTTGATAATCATGTTAACAACATGCTAGTACCTTACTAATAATGCTAACAACTTGTTAAACATGTTAGAAACTTGCTTGCATAATGCTACTAACATGTTAATCATGCTAGAATCATGCTAGTAACATGCTAATCATGTTAGAATAATGCTAGCAACATGCTAGTAACTTGCTAATCATGCTAGAAACATGCTATTAACTTTGCTAATCATGCAAACAATATGCCAACACCATGCTAGTAACATGCTAATCATGTTAACAACATGTTAGTAACTTACTAATCATGCTAACAACATGCTAGTAATTTGCTAATCATGCTAGTAACTTGCTAGTAACTTGCTAATCATGCAAACAAAATGCTAACACCATGCTAGTAACATGCTAATCATGCTAACAACATGCTAGTAACATGCTAATCATGCTAGCAACATGCTAGTAACTTACTAATCATGCTAACCAAATGCTAGTAACTTGATAATCATGCTAGAAACATGCTAACAACTTGTTAAACATGTTAGAAACTTGCTAGCATAATGCTAGTAACATGCTAATCATGCTAGAATCATGCTTGCAACATGTTAGTAACTTGCTAATTTTGCTAACAACATGCTAGAAACAGCCTAGCAACCACCCCAGGTACCCTAGCAATATGTTTTATACCTATGTTTTTCTGATAGAATGTATTGCCTTGAAAACATTCAAACTTTAATCTTTAAAACTATTTTAACTTTCAAACTACTGAAAACTTTCAGACTGCAATCTTTTAAAACTTTTTAAAACTTTCTAGCTAGGCTTTTTCAAGCCAACTTAAAGTTTGTCTACAAACTTTTCAATCTAGTTAAAAATTGTTACCACTAATATTTGCTGTCTGGTTAAAGGATGTTATATTGTATTCATTTCGAATCGGTCAAAAGTTTTGTCCGACTGAGTGTCTTTTGGGACACTTAGTAGGTTAGGGGAACTAGTTTGAATGGCTGTGTATATGCAAGTCCAAATCTTGAGTGTGGACATTACCAGCCGAATCTGCCCCCTGGGCTTTCGTTCCCTGCCTCTGGCTGCCAGCCTCTGGTTTTTCTGCCATTAAAAGATTGTGTCATTTTTTGCTGACACTAGTTCAAAACACTGTTAGACACTGCATAATGAGTTTGCATTCAAAGCTCAGAGCAGTCACCTTCGGGTCCTTAAACTTGATTTCACAGGGGTCTCACCAATCTTTGCCAAGCCAGTGACTATAATCAGTCTAATGAGTGATATTATCTACAAAATGGGAGCTATGCTTGAAGTACAGCCATGTTAAAAGGCCCAGCACACAACATAATGCGATCCTTCAGCTCCAGCAACACAACACGCAACCAGCCTGAGTGGAGATGTCCTGGCATTTAAGTGCTGTCAAAACAATGCCTGAGCAAAAGCTACATTCCCAGTTCTCTCATTTCCCGCAAACCGCCTAGCACGGGACTGGCAGAAGAGCGAGAGAGCGCTTGTCGGAGCTGAAATTGAGTTTACTCTTGTATTTTTTTTTTATTTCCTTTCCATCCTACATTGTATGGTGCTGTTTTCCTCTCACTCTCCTTCCCTCCTTCTTGCTCTCTTTGTCAGTTTTTGAGTCTGTAAAAATATTTGCACCTAGTGTACTGCGAAACAGCGAAGCTGTCGGGTCCTGTGGCGCGGGCTCTCGGGGAGAGGCACATGACTAAGTGTGAAAACTCCAGGCCAAGTTTTTAATGAAGTCCAAAAGGTGGTGCCGTGTGAAGTGCCGAAACCACCTCTCGGCGAACGTTTTCTCGCTCTCTGGGAGAGAAGAGTGGCACCGAGAGCCCACTGACTCCAAACAACCCCGGTGCCAATTAAAAAGCCCAGCTAACGCACTGCTCAATCCAGCTTCATGGGCTCCGTTGATCGCCTGTTTCATTTCCGCCACCATGGTTCTTTGCTGACAGCTTGGCAAAGCAGCCCCTTCTCTCTTTTGAATTTTCCTCGTGGGCTGAGAAAACAGATTTGATAAAAGGGCCTTGGTTAAATCTGTTGTAGGTAGATTTCAGTGTGGCTTGATGTAAACATTGCATGGAAGTTCCATGAAACGTTTTGATGCAAGGAACAACAACAAAAAA